GATTTGGTGGTTACCAATGAGTCAGTCATTTTAGTCTGAAATAAGTTAGAGAGGCCACTCAAGGTTAAAAAAAAGGGGACTGTTGTACTTAGGCCATTCATTCCACTTAGCTGCTACGTCACAACTTACTATTCCTAGTGCTTTTCAGTGTTTCACATACTAACGTGGTCAGAACCATATTATTAAGTATGCAAAACATGCCTTCTGGTAAAAACAGGTTTTCCATTGTCTATATGGATGATCACTACATGTCTGAACTTGACAGATGTTCTCAGACATGAACTGAAACTCTATCACGTTTCATAAATCCTAGCTGAGTATTAAACACGCTCTAGCTCAGTAACCTCTGTTAACAAGTACGTTTACTCCTCTCTAGAAGTACACAAAATCAGTGCAAATTAATTAACACATACAAGTAATTTACAGACAACTCAAACTATGCATGCTATTGTAAACCAGATTCTTCAGTTCACAAAGTAGTTCTCACTCACTGTGCATTATGTTATACCTTAAACACCAGAAGCTCTAATTAAATCTTATTCTTAAGAATTAAAAATGTTCATGCAGTCCAGTAAATGATGACACCTCATTAAACATGAAAGCTTTTCTTAAAACTAATTTGTTTTTTCAACTTACATGCCAGTTACTCTTTCCAAATCATTCTAGCACCACAAGGAAAACAGACTTTTCAGAAACTCTCACAATTAAGGTATAAGGTTTCTCATACACTAGCATACACTGCAATGTCTGGGTAGCAAACCTTGTAAGACAACACTTCTTGCCAATTCAAACTACATCTTTATTGATCAATGGCTGGATAAATATGCATGGCAAGAGTCACACTTCACTGTAATCACCGAAAATCAAGCCATTCATGCATAAAATTTAACTTGCCTGTCTGTCATTCCCATCATTATTTTTTTGTTGTTGTTGACCCAGAAAACCCAACAGCTCAAATTGCACATAAGCCATTGTTATCTTCTGCAGTCATTTCCAATCAGGGTGAGGATCTCTCTGATTATGCATCTCCACAGAAAATGTGTCAAGGCTTGACACAGTGCACAGAAACAGCTTTAGTTAGTGCTTTGTGTTTTTCTGGAGTCCACTGTAGACAATGAAAAACCTATTCCCTCCTGGTGATGCACTGACTTCTGGTTTTTTTGGATGTGCTTGCTCACACAAAGTTTACCCGCAGCAGCAACATCCTGCCTGCAGACATTCAGTTGGTCTATCTGCACTACATTTAATCTAATTAACTTAATTTCTGTACCAAAACATTGGTCTTAAACAATCTCCCTTGCTACAGTACATTTGGATTCTGGAATATTGAGCCAAGCTCAAAATATCAGCACTTCTTTAAATGCATTGGCACACACACTTTGTCCCTCACGCCAAAGAATACAAACTAGCCAGTTATTAATAAACACATTTCTTTTCCCTTTGTTATATGAAAAGCACAATAAAGATGTGAACCAACCTCCACTGCTAAAACCTTTAATGGCCAATTTCCCAAGAATCATCCAGATACCAGAATTCCACTGCCAGTAACAGTGAACGTTTTATCAACCATCGGAGGTCAAGCACTCAATTTCTTATATAAAGCAAGAGTTGTAGTATTACATAAAGAAAAAATAACTGTGCCTCTAATTCAACAAGAACCTTTTACAGAGCTAACTCAGAGATTTAGACCAGTACATGTACCATACTGAGCTGCTGCTGGAGAACCAGAGTGCATCCTTAACTTTAAGCAACTGCAGATGCACTTTGCCAGACTGGTATGTAGTAACTCTTATGCCTAGGTACTTGGCTCAACTTGGCCTGCACGATTAAACAGCACTAATAAAAACGGTGTCCTCAGCCTGTCCTCTGTCCCCAGCACCCAGTTCCCAACTCAATGCCCATCCCAGTTCCATTAGCACAAACATTTGCACACGGAACCAGGGAACCTGTCTGCCTAAAAAAATATTCAAAAAAATAAAAACTTTGTTTTTCAGTCAGATCAATTTCTCAAAGCAGTTAATCCCCTGCTTTTGCTGCCACCATGCAAGGAAAAAAACAGAGCATAATTGAGCCAGCTTAGTGCCACTGAATTTGCAGCCTAACCAAGGTAGGCAATCAGTTCCAGCTTTCTGGATATTCAGCACAGTCAACAACTTCAGCTGCACCCTGCCTCCTTTAATACTTATTTTGCATAGACACATGGCAATAAAAGTCATCAAACTCATGTGCCCCACAGGAGCAGTAATACCAGTGAATTAGCCACTCTGCGTAACCTAATGGGTCCAAGTGACAGATAAAACAACATTTTCTGAGCACTAATATATGCAGCAATGACATTTTAAAAAGATTATATGCACCTGGAGATATGTTTGGGCTTTTTCCTTCAACTGTAACGGCTGGCCTAATAAAACCTCCCCCAGTCTTCCTTCAGTCACATTCTTAGACTAACACAGCTACAACAATACTGCTACATATTTTATCTTAAGGCTGGTTTGCTCTTCAGTGAAGAATTTAAAGCTTTAGAACCTTATTTTAACAAACTGCTTTCTCTCTGACTAACTCTATTCATAACTGATCCAATCCTGTAGCACCTTCAGATACATGCCTTCAACACTACATCCTCTGTTACAGGGCGGTTCCCTTGCTCCTGGCCCGTAACAGTTTTGCTTGCATATTTGTTCACAGTGAACAAATGACTAACAAATTATATAACTCGACTTTAAAGAATGTATGGCCAAATTCTACATTTTTAGCTTTTTGCAAGAGGAAATACACTGCATGCTCAGCACCTTTTTTTTTTTTTTTTGCTGTTCCATTGATCAAATAAAAAAGCATGGAAAATTCAAATATTTATTTAAAAGACAGGAAAAATACTTAAAATTAACAACAAATCCAGGCACTTCATGTAATGCAGTATAGCATTCCTCCTTTTTCTTCATTGTATCCAGCCTGACAAAGTATCATACCTGTTCCTGATCACCCACTGTTCCCTCTGACTTCAGCAACTCCCAGTGTCAAGCACCATTCTGTGTGCTGTGCAGATAAAGACATCCACGTATTTTCACATGCTTGGAATTACTAGTTGCTTGTCTGCTTTTTAATGTTGAAAAGGACAATAGACAGGTTGAAACTCAGGCAAGGCTCACTTAATTTGGTGTTAAGCAGAACAGAAGCGGAAAATAAAAGCCAGTATATTTAGAAGAAGAAAAGGATAAAACAGTTTTTATTTAAAAACAATAATCAGTTGGTTTGGATTTGTTTTGATTTTGGTTTTGTATCAAAATACTGCCAGGAAAGGTTTGAAGAGGAATTGTAACTTACAAAGGCAAGCTCACTACTAACAGCATAATAAATACATTAAAGTTATGTGCTCCACAGAATAAGAATGTTCCTTTATCCACTGCTATGTCTAGTCTAATAGACTTGGTCTGTACTTTCGAATAAGCAAAATCTAAATATGGCACGTAGTGTGTTATGGAGACTTAAGATGAAGGACCATAGGCATGACAGCTGGTCTGGGTTACTTGCAGACTGCAGATTTTAGGTGCTAGCAAACACATCCTTCTAAGGTAATTGCCTTAAGCATATATCACCACAGCTATTAGTGTTAGATTTGGACACTAACAGATCAAGTGCATGAATTTTATTTAAGTCAGGAATGAACACTTAGATCAATTTTTTTTTTTTTTAATTACCCATAGCACTACAGGAAATTTGCCTCAGGTTTGTGTTTTTGCACTGGCTGCTGGAGGACATATACCTGACAACAATATAAAATTAGAGTGGATAAACAATACCCAACCTGATGTAAAACCTGCCAATGCATAGTTCTGGAAAACTTTTTCAGAATATTTGAAATAGCAAGAAGAGTTTTGATCAGATATGCTTTTCTGCATCATGGGGCCACGAATTTTTTGACCTGATCAGATACACTCCATCACACTCGAAGCCTCAGTCTTCTCTCCAGGTTATGAAGAGAGATTGGCTTTCATGAAGGCTTTGAAAACCAAGGTGTGACAGTTCCAATCAAGGCATCTACGTTAACTAGAAGACATTAATAGAAAAATTATTTGACACCAACAAGAAGAAAGTGCATTATAGCAGGGTAGATTTTTCTAGGACCTCATACTGCCCCCAGACTCTCTGGTTTTGACAAATAAAAAGATAGAGTTTGGGTGTCATTTATATTGCCTCGTACTAAGCACAGTTTGAAAGCTGGATTATCCACACAAAAGTATTTTCTTTCTCATGAGGGCAAATCTCAGGCAGGATATCTATATGCTTCTGTTCCCAGCTGGCATTTACGAAAAGAAGCAGTGACCAGAATATCTCTGTTCACCAACTACTCAGAACTGCCACCATGTCCTCTACTGCTGCTCAGGGGGCATACATTAAATCAGCCTGCTCTAAGGTTTACTTATCTTCAATCCTCAACCTGTCCCACGATTCAGTCGCTGATCCTTAAAAATTTGTTTCCACAAATGCATAGAGCTTCTAAGTAACAGTGTCTGACACAGTCATCTCCACCCTCCTACTGTCCTCAGGTCCTCCCTTCCTTAGGACATGAGAAGCAGCCAGCTCCAGATGCTGTATGACCTTGTTTGTTCCACCCTTATCCACTTGCTTCCACCTGGCACCTTAACAACAAGCCTACCAGTGAGCACCTCTTTCTCTGCTTCTTCAGTGGCTCCACTCCGTTGACCAGAGTACACCCTGGTTCCCCAGAAACCCCGCATCCATCACACTTCACTACTATCTGATTATTTTCAGCATTTACAATGAGTTAGCACTCCCATGCAAACACTCCCTGTCCAGCTCGGTCGTCCACCTGCACACACAGCCAGCAGAGTACAAGACTATTTTCCCGTAAGTGACACTCTACTTGGTAAAATAAAGTTCCTATTTTAGTACCGTTTAGAAGCTGGGATATTTTGGGAGCAACAAAATACTTGTGGGAGAAGGCAAATCTAAATCCTTCCAGGCCAAGTCCATTCTCTTACCTTTCTCAAAGACCATTTGCCTGCTCAAGACGGTCTCGTTATCTCTGATCACTTCTCCCCTTACGGTGACCTGTGCCGGGCTGTCCGGCAGCAGAGCTACCCCCACAGTCACGTTTGCTCCAGGCCTGATATTCCAGGGAACTGCCACCAGGAACATGGGTCTGCAAAATCCAAACGGGCAGAGGGAGAAAGGGCAGGGGGTGAAATACAAATCCCCCCGGAAAGTAACAGCGTCCACATAATGCCGCACGACACACGCTGCGAAGCTCCCCCGCCGCACCCC